TGCTATCCGGCAACCCTCGAAACCTTTCGTTTCGTCAATAAGCCTGGCATTGTGCTCCGCCACGGTTTCATAGTTTCGACGTTTTACATTGACCGCATCCTAGCAATCCTCTTCCGCCTCCACCCGCCGCCTCGCCCCCGTTGCCCCGACACGATGATGGACCGCGTCTGTCTTTTTCGATTCCCCGATGGATCCCGCCGATCGAAATTCTTCCGTTCCGTCGGCGGCTCTTCGTCCCGGTTTTCGATCGTTGACCGAGTTCTCGGCGCGGAATCGTCGCCGGCGATCGGCGGCGCACGGACACACCGCTCGAGCCTCGTTACCGGCCGCAATAAAATTTCGGATCCCGGCAAATTACTCGGAGGTGTCCGGTGTAATTTACGCGCCAGATGGCAGGCCCGGAACCGGGAGAATTGCTTCGAGCGAAATTGCGGAACTTTAATAAAACATAAAAACCGGGAAGACGCCGGTGGACGAAGGAAACATTCGTAAAAGTCACCGTGGAAAGGGGACGGCGCCGGCGAAAGTACGGGAATGATTCCGCCGGTCCGCTCGCCTGGTAACAGGACAACTGTTCGATCCCCGATCCGCGCGCGGGTATAATTTAAGGCGAATGCGAGCGGCCCCGCTCATTCCGTTAACTCGAATTATATGGAGCGAACGTCGGCGTGTATCGGAAGTTAAACGTTATTGGCGGTAAACGTCCAAAGATGAAATTACCAGGCGACGCGACACGCGCATCCTCCTGTGACCCAAAAGATGTTAACGAACCACTATAATTTAATCTCTCCTGCGACGGGCAAGCTATAAATTCCAATTAACTCCATTCCGTATTACAACTCGTACGGCAATCGACGGCTGAAGTTAAACAAAACATCCGCAGTCCCTAAAATTACAACGCCACGAGCCTTCCCGAAGGTATATTAAAAGGATGTTACGCTCGACGCACGATACTCTCGTTCACCTTTGAAGCCGTTAGGAGAGCAAACAGATCCAACGATATTTACGACCGGCCGATTCCAAAATTTGCCTTGCGGAAAGCCCCGGAGAACTCGTTCCCGTCTTTTATTCACAGAAGCAGATCCGCCTCGGCACTGTTTACCGGATTCGCTTCGCGGCGCAATGTCCACATAAAAATCAATATTAGATAACAGGACAGTCCCGCGATTCAATTCGCAAGCAGCGGAGAACCGAGGGGAGGGTCGTGAGAATTTTAGAGTCGTGCCCCGACTCCGCGAGCCCGTCCCGGCAGGTCGCCGTTCGGCATTTAGGGACCGTCTCGCTCGCCGGCGAGGAGCAATATGATACAAAAATGTCAGCAGTATCTAGATAATTACATAACTGGTCTCAGGGGCCGGCGAAGCGGAGGGAGGCGGGCGGAAAGCGGGAAGGGGCGAGGAAAGCCGGGCCGGGACGTGGCGCAGGAATAACGCGCGACGAGAAGTTGGCCTCCTCCTGCGTGGAACGGCGCCGCGACGCGGGGGAAGAGGTTCGCGACAGATAGAGCACAGGGTGATTTCCCAGCTGACCTGTAAAGCAACTCCCGAGTGGACTGTGTCTCGCGAACCAGTACTCGCTTCTTTCCTTCCGTCCCCCGTATGTCTCCACCCTGTGTACCCTTTTCTCCCCCCCGGGCGCGTCTCCTTCGTCCATCCTTTTGTCTAGCGATCCTCCTCCTTGCCCCGATAGTCGTTAACCGCGTTGCGACGCGAAAGAGGTGAACGAACGCGATCGCGGATTCGACCGGCACCGGGAAACGGGGAATCGAATCGCCTAACGAACGGTGTTCAATATTAAATCGTCCGACCGAGGAGGACCAATTAGTCTACACTCGGCGAGGGAGACGCAGCGAACTCGACGCTATCGCGACGTATGAAATGCCGGAAGAAATGACTCATGACAATTAGATAGCTGCTGATTGACGTCGACGCGAGAGTAGACGGATTTCGTTGATCATCCAGTGGAATTTCGTAAATTGGATATTTCAGATTTCCGTCTGACTTTGTTTCATCGCGAGAATAATTTAATCTACCGATAGGAGGATGAACGCTTGAATACTACGAATCAGAGTATTTACGCGAACGCTGCACGTGTTCGTCGTATCTCCAGCGATCGATCGACGGTTTTTTGGATCCACGGGGTTTGTCGAACTTACCGGTAACTGCACTGTTGGCAGGCAAAACAGTCCAGGTGATAGACGTTCGCCCTGGCCTTCATGACCAGTTCGAACGGCGGTATCTGCTGCTTGCAGGCCGAGCAGTAGCCCTTGTTCCCGAACAGCCTGAAGTAGTCCCTCTTGCAGAGGATAAGGTTGACCTTGGTGAACAAGGTAGAGCCGACCTCTCCTAACCTACAGTCGCAGGCCTCGCACTTGAGGCAATCCTCGTGCCAGTAGAGGTCCAGGGCCTTGAGGTAAAACCTGAAGAACCGACCACAGTTTTCCTCCTTACCGACCAGTAGTCCAGCATCCCGCGGCAAGTTAATCTTCCATCGGCGATACGCGGGCGAGAAATTGATCTTCGACTTACGTCTCTAAGTTTCCCGTTCTCCGCGGTAAAATTCGTGTTCAATTTCCGCCACGCGACCGTCCCCGACAGTTTTATTAACTCGCCACCCATTCGCCGCGATATTTCAAATTAAAGTCGCGGAATGCCGGCTGAATTACGATTCGAGGCAGACAACGGGGAGGTTGGAAATGATTCTTGGCACTGATATTAGGAGTACGCCCGGTGTTTTATACTTTAGTTATCTTTAAATTGTCAAGGTCCCGTTTATTCAGAGTTCTCGTGCTTCCCGATACTCTAATATTTCAGATTTACGATAGTGTCTTCTTTATGGAATAGAAAAATCAGTGTTCTCGAAGTGTCAATCAAAGGAATTGTTAATGTCGAGCCAGACTCTGCTGGAATCGAGGAACACAGCCGTCATCCTCGCGCGCGGTACGCTCGGAAACATAATGCAACTCTCACCTTTCCGTGATCGTCTTCCCGCAGCCGGCACACTCTTGCGGCGTGGTGCCATTTTTATTCGTCTCGGACTTGCTCACATCCATAGTCATCGTGCTTTTATCTGGAACGCCGTCTGCAAACAGCGAAAAGAACGAGGGCCGGTTGAATCAACGATAACGTGAATCGTGTCTCGCAGCCATTGTGCATTCGTAACAATGGTCCCGCAGCCGGTTCGCGAGTAATGTACACGGACGCCCGCCGACGGTAATAAGCGTGCGCGCGTAGTAAGTGGCCGACAACGCGCAATAATGATCCGCGCTAATTAGACCAGTCGTCCGTCATCGTGCGTCAAATCTCACGGATTCACCTACTTCCGTTCATCGGCGCTCCATCGCGGATTACACGGCCGCTCCTCGCGGAACTGTATAATCGTAACGCGCGAATTAACTTCGCTCCAATGTCCAGCGAACGGAAACGAACTCCAGCACCGCGGGATCAACATTCCGCGCGAGATCCAACGCAGACGTCCAAAAGCCATTAGAACCCGCTTCCCCGAGCATAAATTCGAAAGGTTTAGAAACATAACTCGCCGACCTGTCGTCGCGTGTCTAAATTACAGAAACCAAGCGTAATACACGCGCGTCGACGTGTTCCAACGGAGACCGCGTTCGAACGCGTGATCCATCGCACGCTTCCTACGGGAGCCACGTGGTCCGCGCTGGAAACCAGCACGACTCGGATACTTCCGAGGTTATTATGAAGAGATACGGTTGCGTCTTCGGTCGCTAACTCTGATCGCCTCTCTTCTCATTAATCCCGACGTTCGAGGAGGCGATTACCCTCGGAAGCCGGCGAAACATCCGGTGGCCGCGTTCCGAGGATCGAGGGAAACGCGGCCGAATGCATCGATCACGGGAACGTTCAAACAGTCGTGGTGAAACGCGACCGAGGGAGAGAAGCAACGGGAGAAGGAGAGAGGGAGAGAGAGAGAGAGGAAGAGAGAAGGAAGAGAGAAGCAAAGAGAAACACGGACAAGCACATTCACAGGAACGACGAACGCGTTCTAAAGGCGATCCGAGGGAAGGAGGACGGCCGGCTAAAATGGTGAGTGGGTGCACGGCGAGGCGCGGGGGCTTAATTAATTAGCCGGATACTTTGAGTAACAATCCATTATTACATACAAACATCCTCGGCCCCGGGGCCGAGCTGTAGCTTTATGCTGCTAATTGGCCTTCTCAAAGCTTGGAGACCCGGGCACGAGTTATAAACGCCACTCCTCTAACTCGCCAGCACCCCGGCTCTATCCCTTCCCCGTTTCCCACCGACCTCCTCTCAGCCTCTCGTTCCTTCTTCTTCCACCCGTCATTTGTCTCTATCCGTTCCACTCTCTCCGTCCCGTTCTCAGCAATGTTCCGGTTCCCTCCTCCGTACGGGTCCGCGTGTCCTCCCCTAGCCCCCTGTCCGCGCGCTCGGTGTGTTTCTCTCGCTCCTCCGCTCCCTCCCTTGCACTTTGCAATGCACATAAAACCCATACACCGCCGTTGATACGGATACGCGAACGCGGCCACACGCACGTAAAAAGCCAGGGTGACAGAGTGTTGGTGGGAGGACGGGACGGATGGTGGGAACGAAGAGGAACAGCTCGGCGCCGAGGGATGAGGGGGGTGTGTACGTGGACGGACGGAG